CATATTCTAGGAGCTAGTGCAGGGAGAATGCCTTGGTTCTAATACATCAGTTGCTCTTCTACCATCCATATATCAACAGCCTCATCAATGCGCGACGTCCCAATATTGCTATACAACAGCTCATAGTCACATGACACGAAATATCATCCTCATTATGGCCCGACTTTCGCCAGGTATTTAATGACCGAGCCTTAGGATCTACCAAATCACTTTGGACTTGTCCTGATCGAGACATTCGGCCCGCCGTCAGAAACTTCTAAGACCTTCACTTACTGAAACAATCGAGAACTTCGAGCTACTGTGCCTCGACAATGGCCGCGTCAGGTCGTTGGCATCAGTTTGTGCTGTAACACATAATGAATAGTATGTGAACCTGTCTGTTGATGATTTTCGTTGCCGTCGAGGCCGTCGACACCGTCACTGTGACGAGTTTGTAAGAGGCTTACTTCAATCAGATGCAAACATTGGGAAAGTATGCATCAACCTCCCCCACTAAGAAAGCGCAACCGCTAGTAGAGCTAATAGTATATCGACAAGAAAGCGCCTACGTGCGTCGTACTAGGGCGTTCCAGACAGATTGATTGCGCTAATCCGAGACCAAGTAATAGAGCCAAGTTGTTGAATGAGGGGCGGCCAGCAATGTGATCCATTCCTGCATATTACTTACACTGCAACAAGCCCAATACAAATCAGGTGTTAGATGAAATCAATTTTCCGACCGTATCGTATTTTTGGGCGATACAGCTACATGCTGACCGTGTTAGATTTTCTATTGTAACATTTATAATTATGTGGCTCAACCGCTATATATTTTTCACTGTATCAGAGTCGGAGTGCTCTGCCATTAAAGGCAAAACTGGAAGGACTTGCTCTCTGACTCAGCTTTAACACTTATTGCGGTATCGGGGCTGTAATCACGACAGGGACACTCAAACGTGATTTTTCAATCACTTCATTCGCGTCTTCGTCGAATTTTTCTGTGTCCATGATGAATAGTGCAGAGATACTGAAATTTGAGCTAGCAGGTTTTACAACGAGCTTCAATTGACATAATTAAAAAAAGAAGTCAGGATAACCAGATAAAGTAATACTACATCGATCTGACTTACTGGAAACTTGATCTTGATTAGATTTCGGGTAGATTGAAGCAGCATTTCATTGTTCTTGTTACCGTATGCATCGACAGTACGCTTCTCGTCGATAAAAGCATCCGCAAGATTTGGATCTTCGTAGGGCCCAATAATAATTGGAGTCGAATCCTGTAATACAGCCTTTACATAAATAGTTAAAAATTCACGCGCACAGCTATCATCATATACATCATCACAGTATCATGTACCTGTCCATTCAAGAAAATACCTTCATCAGCTTCAAAGGTCGCGGGACGAAAAGTGATGCGAATGGCATCGTCTAATGGGTTTTCGATCAGGAGAATACATTCATAACATCCTGCATTTCCAGTGTGGTAAGGCAATCGCTGAAACGTAACAATAGGTACGTAGTGTGTGGCTAGGTTGGCTTTTTTAAACCAAGACGACGACACCGGCAATGAGCTGTCACCACTCATGGGACTTATTTGGGGCTTTACAAGGATGCCTGCTGTTCCACGCTTGATGGACTCAACACATCGCCAAGCGCGCTTCGCTCGCAGCAGTGGCCTAGACGGAGGGAGCTTATCAGCATCACGAGACTGATTTAAAGGATTATGCAGTCGCTGATGCAGCGTCGACACACACCCCATATCACATCTTTGTGAAAATATTTCTAACATCTCCCGTGTCTTTTTTGGTGAAGTTTCGTCCCACACAGTCCCTAAAGCCTGCAGCTCTGCAAGCTGACGCTTTAGCTCTGGCCATTGATGTTCGCGGCTCTGCTGCATCAGCCATTCTGTTCTCTCCTGCTCCTTTTCTAGCGCCTGATCGTACTTCCACCCTCCCATTTCCGCCAACCTTTGCAGTTTAAACTTTTTCATGCGATGCTCTCGCTGTATGTTCTTCATTGAGTCCGCAAGCATTTGTAGAGAGGTGCTGCGTCCGAATGTAGTCCCAGAGTTTGACGACATCACGCCAGCAATCTTAACATCCACCAACGAGCCCGAAAGCATTGTGAAGTGCGAGTGTAAAGCTTGATACATATCCTCATGAACCGCTTGACGTTCTCGAGTGATAGCCATCATAATCAGCGCGTCCGGGTCGTCATCAACCAGCCCCAGCTCTAGCGAGTCCCAGCGGCAGTGCGCACACAAAAAAAAGTATTGCTGATTACTCTCTTGAAACGCTGTGGACAGTGCTGTCGCGCACGTAGGGCAGCTAAAGCATCGGCTCGAGCGATTCTGGTACATAGACGCCTCCTTCGACGGCATGTTTACCAGCAGATTTCCACAATAGAAGGATTCAAACTCTTTTACACTACACCTTGGCAGGCGACACACCAGCTTCTCGCATGTTTCGCTGTAGAAAAGAGAGCTCACGGGGCTAAAGTGTCCGCATTTGCACGCATAGCGCACGCAGACATCCTCTAAGTTGGAGCTCATTAAATTCTTTGGAAAAGCTGATAAGGTTTCTCCAATGTCGCCCTAATTAATGTTGCACGAACATAACTTGTTAAGAAATCTACGCAGCGTTGAGCGATGGCTGAAGGCAAACAGAAATCATTGTCGTCGTCATTCCTGTGCTCACCAATTCCCAAGGATACAACGCAAAAATTCTTCATAGAAGATGTAAGATTGAACCCGGTCGCGAAAAGCATTTACTGTCTCACATAATCATCATTGTTATCATGACACGAGCAAACTGACGCCTCTTTTACAGTCAAAAAGCGTTCTTTTCGACGACATGCGTACACCGGATAAAAAACACAATTCTTTTACCCTAGAGATTGCGCAAGGTCTACAAGAGCGTGTGAAGGATGTCGATTTCGAACGACGAGAAGGTATGGATGATAGGAAAGAAGAGGCCCCGAGACTGGCAATAACGAATTTATAGCAACACAGGTGGAGGAAGATGACAGCGCGAGAAAATGCAAGCGACAGCGGCTCGAAATCGAAAGTTTTGCGATTACTAAGGTGCAATGATGGCAGTGACGATCCCTCTTGCAGCTATGTAATTGACAAAAGGCTGATACTAACAACTTTTTCGGCAATTAGAACGAGGAGCTCAAGCGGGAAATTCAGATGCTTAAAATTCAGCAGGACACTAATTCGCAGCGTCACCAAATCGAGCTGAGGGAAAGAGACCTGCAACTGGATCAACTTCGGCGCCAACTACAATTTGCTGTTAGGGAGGAGGAAGACACACTGGCAGAATTGAAATCTATGACAAACGAACATTCAGCGGAAAAGCTTATGTTGGAAAAGAAAATTGTTGAACTGGAGGCACAATTGCGACTTTTTGAAGGAAAACTAAACGAGTGGAAGGAAAAGGCGCTTGCAGCAAGCAGCGAATTGCGCTCGCAGACGAAACAGTCGGCAATGAAAGTGCGTATTTTAACGGGGGCGAATCGCGCTTCTAACATGAAAGCATAATGCTGACTGTGTCATGTACAGATTCAGATTTTGCAAGATGAGTTGACGGCTGCTCAAGACTCCTCATCGACTTCCTCGCAGGTTAGTGCTGGGTCGGCGCTCTTTTTGCTTGCGTGTTCTTTGCAACTTTATGATCAGATATTCCTCAGATGGAGGACAACATTTTTGAATCAAAGATTCGCCTGCTAGAAACCCAACTTAAGGAAAAGAGCATGGAGGCCGAACATTTTGCTTCTAGCTTGCTTGGTGCTCAAGAAACGTTAAAAAACGCCCGAAACATTCGCGATTTAAATGAACATATTATGCAGCTTCAAGCGTCAGAGCGCAGATTGAAGACCGAGGTGCGTATACACGGTGGTCTGTGACGTGGTACATAGTGTTAATCCTTCAATTTCGGAAAAGCTGAAAAACTTAATTGAGGCTTCTCGATCTTCCTCAATTCTGCAAGAAAGGCTTTATCAGACGACGCAAAAGCTTCAGCAAAGTGAAGCAAGAAATGCCAAATCACTCAAACAAATCGTACGTTCGATTATTACGGCTTTCGCAATCACGTAACCCTCCACCTTCCTTGTACAGGAGAGTGCACTGCTTCTAGAAGAAGTCCACAACGAGTTTCAAAGATACTTTGAACCAATCGTGGCGGAAGCCAAAAGTAGGGGCATGTGCGTTGACAAATATGCGATTTGTTGGTAACTTTTCGCTTTTGTCCATACCAAGGTAGCGTGACTCTTGATGACTTGAAAAGCCGACCGGCAGCTGCAGTTGTTGAGCTGTATAAAGCGCGTCAGAATGCTTTTGAAATTCTTCTAGAGCAGAAAAATAATACGGATATACAACTGCGGCGGCTGGAAAAACAGTGTGAAAAACTTCAAAGTGACTTACTTACAGTGGGCAACAAGTGCGCTAAGTTCGAAATGCAGCTGGCTGAGTGTCAGGAGAAGATGAATGGTTCCAATGATGTTGTATCTCATCTACGTAAATTAAACGCAGAGCTGATAGAAATTCTTGAAACTTATGGCAAGGATGTCGATGACCAGAAGACAAGTGAGCTCTCAACACAGCGCATTGCTTTGCTGAGGTCTTCGTTAAAGCAGTCGCAAGAACTAATTAAGGGAATGGAATTTTCACAGAAGTTGATGGCGACACCAGCTGCTATCAAAAAATATGAAGCGCGAATTGAGAGACTGGAAAAAGTGCTGGCCAACACGAAGCAAGAAAATGGAAAGCTGGCAAAGCATCTTGAAAAGGCTGAGATGGAGCTGGCAGCATTCGAGAAGCGGCTTGGCAGAGGTGAATTTAATGTAGAGACAACAAAGATTGTGCATTTATCTGTAAATCCGACACGCGAGCTACTTGAAAGCAAGGCTAAGGCTAGTGATGTCGACAAGTTACGTCAAGAGATAAAGACGCTTCGTGCAAGACTGAACCAATTCACAGACGGAGATCTCACCGAGGTTAGTTCCTTTATCGCGACCAGCCGTCTATATGTCTTCTTGCTCACGTATTTGTATAGCCTCTTAGTATACCTGGCGAAGACAACCTTACTACTACAACGTCATATGATACAGTGGAAGGTCTCAAGAAACTAAATCACCGGCTGAAGCAGGTTTTTTCACACAAACGCCATAAGCTGTAAGGTGAGAATGATACTAAAATATTTGCCTATTGTGATGCAGGTGTTTGGAGACCAAATACGGCAGTACCGAGAGGCAGTTTACTTGCTAACAGGCTACAAGGTGGACTTGAGAAAGCACAACGGAATGGAGCTGCTCCGCCTGCGCTCAGTGTACGCTGAGCACGATGAAGACGAACTGCTGGTACGCATGGAGGAGAATGGGTCGCTCGAATTACTGGACAGCGAGTTTTGCGCGCAAATCAATCATCGTGTGTTTGCATATCTGACGACTTGTCGGTCGTTTCCGGCTTTTCTGTCTACGCTGACGCTACACTTGTTCGAAAAACAAACCTTTCAGGGCAGCTAGCACAAAAGCTAATCTTAATTCCAGCAATGTGTTCTGTTTAAAATTTCGGGTAGCACAGACACAATGTGCGCCACACGAATCCTTATTGAAGTTAGCTGAAGGCTCACATAAAAAATCATCACTGCTTAGCGATGATTCGCTTCCCTTGTAGTAAGCCCACCCGATCCGTGTACGCACTAGTGCATCTGTCGCATCGCCATTTTTCCGTATCATCAGGACACCTCGCGCAGTTTCCATTTCTATCGGAGCTGGGTATTCAAGCGGAGAATTACGGTGTGTTCAACGGACAGTGGTTCGGCAATGGCACCGTATATACGTCGGTCAACCCCTTTGATGGCCAGCCCATCGCCAGTGTACGAGGTGGGAACAAGGCTGATTACCAAGAGGTTGTGGCTGCCATGAACGATATCAAGCCTCAGTGGTGCGAGTTACCCGCTCCCAGACGCGGAGAGATCGTGCGTCAGATTGGAGAGGAGCTTCGCAACAAGCGTGACGCGCTGGGCAAGCTTATCGCTCTTGAAATGGGCAAAATTTACGTGGAGGTTTGTCGTTTGTTGAAGTTTTCGTGATGTCGCTAACGGCTCATTACCTCTGTCTCTATACTAATTTGCTTTTTAGGGCGTCGGTGAGGTACAAGAGGCAATTGACATATGTGACTTTGCTGTGGGACTTAGCCGCGCGTTGAATGGATCGGTAATTCCTTCGGAGCGTCCTGGTCACTTCATGATGGAGCGTTACAACCCTCTGAAAGGCCACGTGGCCATTGTTACAGCATTTAACTTCCCCTGCGCGGTGTTATTTTGGAACGCGGCTTTGAGTCTTGTGTGTGGTAATACGCAGATATGGAAGCCATCGGAGTCGTTGTCGCTCACATCTGTGGCTTGTGCCAAAATTATTGCTGATGTACTGGAGCGCAACGGTCACTCGGGTGCCGTCGCTTCGTTGATTTGCGGGAGTGGTGCGGAAGTGGGCGAGGAGATCCTTGCTGACAAAAGAATAGAGCTGGTGTCGTTCACAGGATCGACAAAGGTGGGCCGCCACGTAAATAAGGTTGTATCGTCTCGTTTTGGCAAGACTATTTTAGAGCTGGGCGGTAATAACGCCATGATCGTGGATAAGAATGCGAATTTGGAGATGGCACTTCGTGCAACGCTGTTTTCGGCTGTGGGAACAGCTGGCCAGCGTTGTACGTCACTTCGCCGTCTCTTTCTCCATGAAGACATCCACGACGAATTTCTTGAACGTCTTGTAGCTGCATACCAGAATATAAAAGTTGGAAACCCTTTGGAGAACGGCGTCCTATGCGGCCCCCTGCACAATCTGCAGGCTGTGAAAAATTATCTTGACGGTATCAAGACTATTCAAACGCAAGGAGGCCACGTGAGTCCATTTAAGCATATCTAAAGTTTGTGTTGTCATATGAGTTCTCACACCTCTAGTCCGTTTGCTGCTTAGATTTTGACCGGTGGAAAAAAGATTGAAGGAGAAGGCTATTTTGTGGAGCCGACTATCGTTTCGATTGGCCATGACGCGAAAATTGTTCAGAAGGAGATTTTTGCGCCAATTCTTTACGCATTGAAATTCAAGTCACTTGACGAGGCGATCCAATTGAACAACGATGTCCCGCAAGGTCTCTCATCGTCTCTATTTACAAAAGATCAGGCAGCAATATTCAAGTGGACAGGTCCTTTGGGGTCAGATTGTGGTATTGTCAACATTAACATTGGACCTAGTGGTGCTGAAATTGGTGGAGCATTTGGCGGCGAGAAGGAAACCGGCGGTGGTCGTGAGTCGGGCAGCGATGCGTGGAAGCAGTACATGCGTCGTTCAACTTGCACCATTAACTACAGCAAAGAGCTTCCTCTTGCCCAGGGAATTGACTTTAGCTAATTGCTGCTCAGACAACTGTTGTAAATAAATACAATTTTCTCGTCATTGATATAAGGGACTTTCTTGCTGTTCAAGATTTACAAATATGACTAGGCCACAATATATGCATTGTGATGAGAGCAAAGCAAACACATTGTTAACTTGACTAGGGCATAATGTGTTGCAAGCAGCTCCTTGTCATTACTTAGTTGTTCTTCGATGCAAAGTACATTAATTATACCCAATATGCAGCGGGGCTGCCGTAGCTTTGCGCTTGAGGAAGCGTCTTTAGGTCACCGACCTTACAAAAACCAAGTACGAGTGTTGCGGATCGCAATCCGCTGCCTCCAAAAGTACTTAAACCTTAACCAAGGTACAGAGTCAAAAATCGAAACTGATTCTTATTTATATTTTTATTCTAATATTAAAAGTTTAGATTTTCCTAAATATAGTAAAATCTAACTAGCCCCGTCCCGTATTCTTGTTTGGGTGTGTGATCACATTATGAACATCTCGTGTTCACCTCCCTTGTTATTAGGGTTTGTTAAACCCCGTTTCACAATACATCTCACAAAATAAGTCACAGATCTTCTTTTCTGGAAGAGCGTGGGGCTTTTTGAAAAGCGTGATGATGGTACAAAAGATACAAACTTGTAGGATGTGCATCGAAATAGCTATGTTCCTTGCACAAAGAAAGCTTTGACTCAGAGAGCTCACGTATACAGCGCAAAAAGATTGGGTTTGTTTCCTACACCACCGAAAATGACTAAGTACTTAATTAGCTCCGGTGTGCCAAGAGTGTATATGTCTAGAACTAATTCTATGCAAGCTGTTACTGATTTTTTATTATCGTATATCCAGGACTTGCTTGGCGTGTGGCTGTCACCCCACGTGTACCACAACCTCAATGTGGGGTAACACGAACCCTAATAACAGGGGTTCGTGCGTGTAACACGAGATGGGCATAATGTGACCACACACCCAAACAGGAATACGGGACGGGGCTAGGTAGCCAGTACCTATGGATGTATTTAGATATTACTATATATATTTAGTATATTTAGGAAAATCGAAACTTTTAACATTAGGATAAAAATATAAATAAGAATCAGTTTCGATTTTGAACAGAAGTTCGTTAGCCTTGGTAAGGCTTTTAAGTACTTTTAGAGGCAGCGGATTGCGATCCGCTGCAATCTTACTTGGTTCTTGTATAGAACGAAAGGTCGGTGACGTAAAGACGCTTCCTCATGCGCAAGGCTACGGCAGCCCCGCTGCACTTGGTAGCACTTGTAGTCAACCTACACCTAAGTCGTTTCGACTATTCCTCAGGAATTTTTCTCTTTGCCCCAGGGTATGCAGGACGGCTTTAATAAGCAGATGTCCTTGCTTGGCCCTGAGGGCGTGCAACACCTTGTGGCACACGGCCCCGAGGCAATCGGTGCGCATCTAGAGGCGTTTTCGAGCTAAGAAAACGCGCTGCTAGAGCACCTGCAGCAGAAGATGTCTGCATCGTTTGCGTCTGTGACGCCGCCGTCGGTGACGGATGAGTTCCCCCGACATAAGCCGCTCATGATGAGCGTTAAGGTCTTTGAGGGGAAGATGGAGAGAATCTCCTACTCTGGGTGAGAGAGGTCGAGATGGCAATCGCATCCGCCATGCTCCAGATCGAGCAACAGCGCGTGGCACTAGCCATCTCAAAGCTCGGTGGTCGAGCGCGAGACTGGGCACTGACGTGCGGCACTTCGGTCGAAGTTGCGTTTCCCTCCTGGGCGGAGCTGAAACTGCAGCTCTCACGAGTGTTCTCGCCGCCTAATCAGGCGTATCGCTGGTGATTGCGTTTCCTTGCCGACCGAAAGGGCAACAAGGAATTGGTGGGCTTTGTCCAAGAGATGCGAACTCTCATTGCCGGGATGGCAGCAGATCCCCTCCCGGAATCGGTCACAGTGACCGTCTTTATGGAAGGCCTACGCACTGGCGTGGCCAGAATGGAAGTCTTCCGTGTACATCAGTCCTCATTCGAAGGGGTGGTGAATGTGGCATTGAATGCTGAATTCAATTTAAAAATCGGCACGACTTGGTTGGAATGCTCACTCAACAGCTCATCGAGCGGGCCTATGTCCATGGATCTCGGCTATGCTGAGGGCGAGGGAGTAGAGCTCCGAGCTGCAGGGCAGCATACAGCATACAACATTCGACGGTGTTTTATCGGTGGAGACACCCGTCACCTGCGGAATGGTTGCCCCTTGGGCAAGGCGCGTCAAGGTGCTTCGAACCATCGCCCCAACGCCTACAAGTCTGTTCGTCGCGGGAAAACAACTCCACCCAGTAGGCGCGGGGCGCCCTACTGGGGACGAACTGAGTTCTATTGAGCCTCAGAGAGGCATTGGTCAACAGGGCCCATCTCCGAAAAGCTCCGTGCTCTAAAACACGGAACTTATGTGCAAGCCGGGTTCGCTAGTTGTGGAGGCGACCGTAATGGGCTTCGAGAAGCCATAGAAGATCCTCATCAAATCTGGGGCGTCGGGCAATTATGATCGACGCTCCACGATGGAGGGAAGTCAGCTGTATGCTGAGGCGCTGAAATCGCGGTTGGGTGACTTCGTCACTGTTTGCTTAGCGACGGGGACGCGTGTCACGGTCCCAAAGGTCCCTGTGGACCTCGGAGTCAAGTTTCTCGACTTTGATAGCGTGGAACGCTGTCTAGTCTTAGACTTGGTTGCAAGGTATGACCTCATCCTAGGAATGGCATGGTTGGAACACCACGAGCCATGGAGTGATTGGAGTTCGACGAACTTGGGCGCTACGCGCACGTTTGTTGGTGGTGCTTTGGCGAGTCATGAACCCACCTCTGCTAGGAGACAAAAGCGCTTTAGCGAGAGCACTGGACCGAGAAGCTCAACATTCTTACCATTGGAATGTCCGAGCTGGTAGACACCAACGGTGCATTGGTTAGGAGTCCCGAGCGTGGCTCGCAGGCTGATCATGGAGTGACACGTAACCCACTGAGCGATGCTCAAGTTAGGAGCAGTCGCTGCATGTCATGCGAGGCATGGTCGGCCGAGGGCCGAGGCACCCCTGATGCACGTGAAGTGGCACGTAAACCACTGAGCGCTGCTCGAGTATTAGAGCAGTCGCTGCATGTCATGCGTGACATGGTCGGCCATGGGCCGAGGTATCGAGAGCGAGTCCCTCGTGATGCGATTGGAGTGGCACGAATACCACTGAGAACTTTTTTCGTTGCGAAATAGTCGCTGCATGCCATTTATGGCGTGGTTGGACAGAGCCCGAGGCATCTTGGGCACGGTCCCTCAGATGCACGTAGAGTGGAACGGTATCCACTGGACGAAGACTGCGGTTAGCAGTTCTTCGTCGGATGTTTTAGATGACATTGGAGCTCCAAAGGAGCAGAAAGTGAGGGTGACAGACGCGAAGTGCGCGTTCACCCTGGTCTCACCGAGACATAGAAACTCTGTACAGAGGCGACGGCGATGTCGTTTGCGGGCTGCAAGACGCCGGGCGCCTACCCTGATCCAGGGTGTGTCTACCGTAGACGACGGTACACAGTTATACACACTCGTCAACGGTATGACGGAGGAGGAAGATGGCGACGTCCGCCTCGAGGTTATGCCTGCAGAAGATGCTCTTCTTGAGTTGGACGAGATGTCCCTTAAAAAGTTCGGCAGTGCCTTGAAGGCAGGTGATCTGGTCGAAGTGGTCATTGTACGACCGGACGAGGAGATAAATTCGTCATCGCTTTTAAAAGAAGCTGTCTTGGAAGACACAAAGCGAGCGCTGAACGCACGGAGTGAATCGTCAATCCTACGGAATCCCTTGGATCCGTACAATCTTTTGTTAAAGGAATATCAAGATGCCGTCTCCAAAGACCCGCCTTGTTCCTACCTCCGGATCGAGGTGTGTGTCATGAGATTGACCTGGTTCCGGTAACCAAATTCTGCGTAACACGCCAATGGCCCCTGCCCGAGGAGCAGTGCGACGTCATTGACGCATGATCCGTGCGAAGCACGACGCAGGGATGTTGCGTGAGAGTAAGTCTCCCCATTCGACACCCGCATATTGTGTTCGGAAGCCGAACTGCAAGTGGCGTATCGTTCGTGCTTACAATAAGGTCAACGCTGCCACCATTCCGGCACAAACGCCAATACCCAGAAAGGATGTTCTCTAGAACAACATGGTGGGATGTACGAAGTAAAGTGCACTCGATTGGTACATGGATATTACCAATTGCTCATGAGAGCGAGTGACATACCGTTGACAGCGGTAAGCACTCCGAGTGGCATGCTCTGGGAGTGGCTGGTGATGCCTCAAGGGCTGTCAAATGGACCAGTAACATTTAATCGTCTTGTAACGCAGCTGTTCAGGCCCCACAGGGCGTATGCAGAGACATACTTTGACGACATTCTCGTTCACAGTCGTGCGGAGCACGGGAGGACGGATGAGAAGAACCACATCGTCTATTTAAGAGCGGTGCTCGAGTGCATGCGCACTAAGAAACTGTACGCCAATGCAAACAAGTGCATCTTCGGCGCAGAAGATATTCCCTTTTTTGGGTGCTCTCTTCAAAAGCGTGGCCATCGAGCGGATCCCGCTAAGGTCAAGGCCATTGTAGATTGGTCGGTTCCAAAGAAATGTTGCGGCCATCATCCAATCTCCCTAAAACGGATGCGGAATGGTGTTGGAACCCCAAACATCAGAAGGCTTTTAAAAGGGGTCAAAGACAGTCTCCTGCATGCACCAATACTGGCACTGCCAGTCCCGATCATTCTTTCAGAGTCGTTTGTGATGCTTCAAACTTTGCCATCGGCTGTGCACTGCTGTAAGCAGACACCGAGGGGCAAAACCGGGGGTGATCGCGCTCGAATCTCGACAGCTCAAAGCTGCGAAGAAAACTTCCCAGTTCATGACATGAAGCTACTTGCGATGAAGTATGCACTTGTCAAGTTCAGGGTCCACCTGCTCGTCTCCAAGCCGTTTGTGATCGACACAAATCATGCGTCACTACGCACTGCAACTCAGTCGCCCCACCTCTCGCAGAGGATGGCAAGATGGCTATCCTTCTTTGCGGAATATAACTTTGAGGTGTACTATAAGTAGGGAAAGCAGAATGCTTTGGCTGATGCGTTGTGACGCAGACCAGACTATGAGCTTGCTCATATTACAACCGTAACGTCGTCTGTGACGGATTTGATCCGCACCGCGTATGCGGGTGATGGGATGTGTGTATCATTGCAACGGGCTCTAGGGAGCAAAAAATTTGGAAACTCGGACAGGAAACTGTCACAAAGACTGCGTGCACAATTGCACCGATATTTGTTGAATAACGGGTTGCTACATTATAGCACCGATTCATCGGATACACCACGAATTGTGGTTCCTCATGATGAGAATTCAAAATATCACATTCTCTATGAGGCGCACGACACGCCATTCAGCGGTCATCTTGGTCGTGAGAGAACATACAACTCTGTGAGTCGCCACTATTGGTGGTTCAAGTTGTACAAATGGACAAGCACCTATGTGTGCACATGTGAAACGTGTCAATGGGTAAAACCCTCTACAAATGCGGCTGCGCCGCTGGCCAGCTTACCAGTACACACTGGGTGCTGGCAGTCCATGAGTTTGGACTTTGTGTTTGGCTTGCCGAAAGATTCGGCGGGCAACACGGGTGTCGC